TTGCCAGTGAATTTACCCCATCTTTAACTCTGTTGATTGTATACTGTACACAGTTTTAATATAGTTGTTTGAGTTTTTTTGATGAGATATGAAATACAAGTCTATAATCATCACAATCATAATACAGTTTACCAGTTGATTCAATACCAATGAAAACCCGTCAAAATTAGTTCATCCTTTATTTTTATTTATTTCCTGACTGACAGCCAAATGCTTAATATGTAGGTGCTCCATTTAATATTAAATTTTAAAAATTACACCATATAAACAATTTTAAAACTTTTAATTCATAATTAAAAAAAATGATAAATCATCATTGTAACATTATATTTCAAGCGTGTCAACATTCAAAATCTGTACAGTGGCCAACCCTAGAACAAATAGCATGGATATAATAAATTATACATGTTAAAAAATCTGTACCTAGTAAATAAATATACAAAAAAATATTAGATTTCAGTTTGCTGARACAAAATTTCATTATAATCTCATCTTTAAAATGTGAATGTTTTTAATTATTTTCTTAATACACATCTAAAGTATAAGAGGATCAACTATTCTAAATATACGATTTGTAGTTTTTATGAAATAGTGACAAATGAATGAATGGTACTTATTTTGCTTTTATACTTAATTATAGGTACCTAAGCATTATACAAACGTCATATTCGGATTAATATTATTAGTTTGACATTTAAATCTGGGGAAGAAAAATGTCATTCCACCATAGCCATGTAGATTCGGACTATGCCAGTACTTTGATTGTGCTTATATCAATTTATTTTCCAAACCTGACCACCACTGTATCATAATATATTATTTTGGATAATAATTGATATATTATTGACATATAAAATGAATTATATAAAATAAACCGTTCTTTTACTTGAAATTTTTGACATCTGAGTGTGTTGTGTTTGACCGAACAATACTTTTGAGATGCTTATCACTATCTCAAAAATATACCCACGTTTCTGAAAATTGTTATTTTACATGATTTTAAGTTAAAATAAATAATAAAAATGTACTTTTTTAGATGTATGTTTTTTCTAATATTTTTGGATGATAATAATCATTAACTATTTAATTTCACWGAGCAGAACATTTTTCAGAGTATTTTGATGTATAAATATTAAATTTCAATCAAGTAACTACTTAATTAGTTAATATCATAAGTATTTAATGATTTAATGAATCAATATTTTTCTATGTAAGTCCATCTTAAGTACAAATACTYATGATACCTAATATACTGATCAATTATTACTCAATGGAAATTTCATTTTTATTAGTATTCGCGCTATAGGTCGTGGTTTTTTATTTGTGGACTTATATTATTTGTATTCCATTTAGACTGTAATAAACTRAGAGATGACTCTCTATTAAAAGTCACAATAGTTTTAACTGCCCATAATAAAATAAATGGAACATTTTACACAGGACGACCAGACAGCTTGGAAAACTGCTCGGTGGTAAACCAGACATCAGCATCGCTGGTAGTCCGGTGCCAACCAGGTTTTGATGGTGGACTCAGTCAAAGGTTCGTCATGGAGGTGTACGATCGCCATGGGCAGTCACTGGCAGGCAATGTGACGGCCGACCGGCCGGCGTTTACTGTGGGAAGTCTTCCTTCCGGTTTGGGATTCGATATTAGCGTTTACGCATACAACAGCCGAGGACCGTCTGACCCCGTTCAGCTACACGCCTACACCCTCAAGTCGGCCGAGAAACGTACAGGTGCGTACGATACATAGACAAAGATTAATAATAATAATTATTATTATTATTATATCGGTTTTCGATTTCACCTGGATTTTATATTATATTATTATAATTATGTGTACCTGCTGATATTTTTGTGGAAGTTCAAAGAATCGCGGTCACCACCGCATATTGTATTTCACTTTAACCGCATCCGTGCTGAGAAACCCAGGCAATAAACGGTATTATGTTTAGATCGCGTGTCAAAACAACGTAAACTAAAAAATAAAAAATATCGCAAAATACTCATTACCTACTACGTTATACTTGATCCCAGATCCATTTAAATTGATAACATCTGTTGGAAGATAAATTATGAAAGTGTTACCACTCGAATAATCCGTTTTTCTCCCGTTTTCGTATTCGTTTATAGCCGYGTCTCTTCTATCTCTATACCGTATTCGATAGTGCCATGTTAATGAATTTTTATACCATGGTTCAAACTTTATTCTTTTCAAATGGTCTCGATAAAGCATTGGACGGCACGAACCCTAAGTAAAGTACTAAAGCTAAAAGTAAAGCGCTATAGTAAAGTAAACTCCGATGCACATAATTGTATAGGTTTTATAATTAAGCACTCCTGCAAATTTAGTTACAGTATAACCATAGTTTCGTACAATTATGTGAGGTATCTGGGTCAATCTAACATAAACTGACAATACCTATATGTGAAGGGTTTCCCCATGAATACGGCMTATATTATAGATTATAGTTTATATTATTATTCAGTGCTTTCAAATATTACATTTTACGAACAAAAAAGTTACTCGTATGAATATGGTATAACTCGCTATTTAGTGTTTACCATCATACAAACATTACAAACCACTCGATTTTCACTCATCCCCCCACCCCTATCGACAACCTTACTTGTTATAATTATAAACCACCGTTTACAGATATTACATAAACTTTATAATTTTAAAGTTGAAAACTATTTATACTTAACAAAACTTACAATTTACAATACATATTTATTACTTTACATAACATTACTATCGTTGCTATTTACTTTTAATGTTAAATACGTTATAGTACTTTTAAGATATTTCCTTTTTCTTTAACTTTTCTACAATTGCATGCAGTCTGTAAGTCATACTCATTTTAATACGCAAATATATATGGCCAATAAAGCTTTATTAATAATATATCATTCTTAATAATAATTAATAATGCATATTCATATAACGATTATTTTATGTAAAACACTTTATATAAAGACTAACTAAAACCAAAAATAAATAATTACAATTTGTGTAATGAAATATTGTTTACCTAATTGAAGTCCTAATTAAATCATATAATACGTTTTTAATTATCAACCCATCAATTATACCGGCTCACTGGAGACACTGTGATAATGCTATTACTGTATAAGTTTTCCAAGTTCACAGRCAAGTTAATACAATTAAGTGCTCYTCGTGTACTGTGTATTTAATTTGGATACGACATAATTGTACGAAGTTGAAGTGGGCAGGTACGACAAAACGTAGGAAAACATCATTATAATTTTAAATAACATATAACTGCAATTATTGAAAGTTAGAAGTGATTACTTTTAGATTATATAAAACCAAAATAATAACAATATTACAAAATCAATGAATATTATTAAACAACTACATTTAACTTAGCTTTTTACAGTTTTAAATGTAATAGATTCTCACACCTAAATATATTATCATGTAAATAATGACGTAGAACGTTTATGACGACGTTTTTTGTAATGTTGCTTCAAATTAATATGCGAAAAAAAAATTAAAGCGTTTTCGTCACAAGTATTAGTTTAGTAAGTTTATGTGAGTATGTGTTTTCGTCAACTCAAAGTAATCATCATCTAGGTCACTTTCGATTTGAGAAACCATGGCTGTCATCTGTAAGTTGAGCGCACTGCGTACTTTGAATCTTACACAGCTACACACAAATTAATATTATATACCTAACAGTACATATTTTAGTATTCAAGATATTGCAGTAGATAGTAGATACACGCCTCACCTATTAAGGTTGTGGGTTACATCCAACATACGAGCTATAAAACACCCATGTCAATAACTTTCATCGGGCGTCCGGTAGTATCCATAAATATGATTTTTATCGTTTGTAAATTCTGCGTTGTAGCCTCYACTCCGGCGTTCATATTATGGCTCGCTCGGTTATAATACCGTCGAAACGTACAAAGAGCTCGAGAAAATCGAATAAGCTTGCCTATTGCCTCACAAATAGCGTTCTCAATTGAAATTTATTCCGGGCCGATAGTCATTACTTAAAAGAATACTTACGATAGGAGCCCGCGCTCCTGTATGTGTGTATGTGGTGTTTGTGTGTGTGTGTGTGTGTGTGTGTGTGTGTGTGTGTGTGTGTGTGTGTGTGTGTGTGTGTGTGTGTGTGTGTGTGTGTGTGTGCGCGCGCGCCCACGCATTCCGGTCACGTAGCCCGTTGGCATTAGCTTCGAGGAGCTCTAACAATAGCAGGGAAGAGCACCTACATACACTAAATTACGTCCGAGTTCGGCGGGGCTGGAAAAGTGATGATCAAAAATGAAATAGTGACGCGCGCTGTGCACCCTGCCGAGATGCAACAACAAGTTCTCGACGTTAGCCGATAACGTATTGGCCAATCGTGTGATTAGATTAACCTAATGTGGAATTCTCTAGTAGTTGGCGGTAATAAAATGTAATACCCACACGGTCGCACTGAACCGTTGTTACAACCGCACTCGGCCACGCGCGAACACGTATTGGACCAACCTTTTATTGGCCTTGTCAGACTAATGCGCATTAGATAATATTTTGTCGGCAACAAATCGATTCCCGCACAACGTGAGCGAGTGACATAATTTTTAAAGTACCCTTCGTATTTTTTTTTTTTTTAATAATAATATAAAACCTACGGGACAGCGACGTTTCGTTAAAATAATAAAATATACCGCGTATGGGATTAACGACGAAAACACAATTACAAAATGATAAAGTGGTCAAATAGACTTAAGAACAGTATTGATTTGAAAAGGGGTGTGTTATGTGACAKTCGACTATAAAATTTCCAGTCGACTAATATACATGTAAAACCAAGACTTATAAGGAATCTTTTTATATTCATCTATTTGCTATACAATGATCCCTCTAAATATCGAACACTTTCAGGGTAAGTTTTCAGAACATCCCTCCATTAAAAAAAAAAAGAAAAACTGACCTCACATTCTATGATGAATCAACTATTTAGTGAGTTTGGGTTTATTCTGTAATATGATTTTGAGATATTCTTTTAACAAATATAGTTCTATAAATTTGAAGAAACTCATGGCAAGTGAATTGCAATTAAAAGAAATGGTCAACATGTCCAATTAAGTATTATTATAGTTAATAATATAAAAACTAAAAACACAATCTATGAATAATACATAATATTATAATATAAAAAAAAAATTAATTTTTTTGGCCGTTGTTAGTAACGATCTTGAACTTATAGTTATAACAACAGGATACGATCATCACAACTGACTCAACTAGATAAGAATTACTGTCCACCTATCTTACCGCAGGTTTTCATAACAGCTTAAATCCAGAATTCATGTACACGTGTCATGGACGTATCCACATATTATCCGGAAAATTAGCACGTTGACCGATTTCGAGTTTTTACAAAATCATAATAATATTTTCATGCATAATATTACCATACTATATTTGTATAAACTTATATGGTGACTTCTAATTAATTAATTAATACTAATATTTTGTTGTCTGTAGCCGTCACACCCTCTGGATTTCGCTTTTCACCCATGCTAGCCGTGATCGCTGTTGGATGCGTCGCGTCTGTCATATCCATCGCGTGTATCGTGGCTGTGGCCGTAGTAGTGCAGAGGAAGCGATCTAGGCGCCGTCGCCGTGAAAGGTCAAATGACGAGTCGAAAACGGCCATCGACGGTGTAAGCGAAACTGGAACTGGTACAGGAGCTGGAACCGGAAACGGAGATGGTAGTGGACTCGATGGTGGGACTGGCGGAGGTGGCACTGGAGGAGGAACCGATGGAGTTACAGGCGGAGGAAACGGCACAGATCGTCATCATCAACGTGCAGATGCCGTCGACGATGGATTAGAAAAGAATCCCGACATCATACCACAAGACAACGGTGAGAAGAATTTACTTTTTCAAAATCCCAAAGTGACAACATAAGAGTATAGAATAAAAAATTTAAAAAATTAAAAACTAATTACTGTCATCGATGTGTGATACTAATTTTTTTAATCCCAACAAGTGTTCTAAAAGCGTAAATAATACTTGCGTTGTTCTGTAGTTTTGTCAAAACTAATTACCTGATAATTATCCTAATAAAACACTGTTAAGCATCGCCTTTCGCCTACTACCAGTTATTCTCTAATTTTAACTGATAAGGTTTTTTGATTTTTTTTTAAATAAATCACTTATTCAATAGATTAATGCCTATAAGTACTTTCAAGTTTCCACACGTTCCTATCTTGGTGAAAATTGTTCGATTACGATATTCTAAAACCATTTATTTTAGAATTCATCGGCCGAAACTTGTCTTCTTTAACGTGGTTATTGTAAACAATTAGTTTCTCAAAGCTAAAATTTTACAAMTGCCCAAATATCATCAGATGTGAAATAATATCCCGGTTATTACCATTATTACATTATTTTGATATTATTGTAGTCTTTTTTTTTTTTATTAGCTAATTTTATCAAGTGAAATATATTTTTCAAACGAATAAATGGCAATTCTAGTACATCAATTATTATAATAAAATATTTATAATATGATACATATAATTATATAAATTACAATAATTTAATATGGCTAACACTTTCAATCATGTTCTTTTGATGTCTTAATATTTTTATGGAAATCAAACCAAGCATTTTTTTCAGTAATTCACGTAATAATTTGTATGAAAACAACCCGTTTTAGCGAAACAATTTTATTTTTCATTTTAACAACAGCTTTTGACTAGATAGTTTGGTTAGTTTACTCGCTTTTATCGTGAAATTCGTTTTTCTAAAATATATACAATTTTTTCACAGATTACTTAGATGAAGATGAAAAGGCATTTGAACGGTTAAACAGTGGCAGAATATATTCTTCACGATTGGTCGACGCAGAAGCATGCAAACAACAAGTAAGTATTTGACTTACGTAACACGCAAGGAATGTATAATAATTTATAGTCAAAAGCAGACTTAAAACCAAAATTCTAATTTATTACAAAAGTGTAAAGAAGAACCATAAAATACTTGGTATTTGTGAGTTAGTTGTAGGTTATCGCAACTACCAAAAATTYACAACTGTCTACTACCATAGTTCGACCGGTACATAAAAGTTACGATCAGTATACTATCTGATAGCTAGCAATAAAAAATAATATATCTTGTTTATTTAATTGAACGTCCTGCTCATCTTTTTCAATAAATTACAATTACATTTGAAACAAACAGCCATAACAACAATGTKATGTATCCAAAAAATACAGCAAATAATATAGTAAGTAATATAGTAACATAGTAAGTACCACATCACAATATTATCATTGTGACCAATCAGTTAAAAATATTATTTACTATAACAAACGCTGACAGAGTAGGTATATCGAATAATGCAGCTTTCAGAACATTAACGATGACTGAAGAGGATAAAATAAGAATAGGTTTAATATACAACGTATTTCCCTAATAAATGTTTGAAAGTTTTCACTATTTGCAGTATTTTTATCGTGAATAAACATGTTTACCCTCATTTTTTTACTAATATACTCTAAATAGTCTATAAACTACATAATATGCTGACATTTAATTGATATTTTTTAATTATCTATATATAGTTCATATGTAGGTRTTAGTACTYATATAGGTTATTCACTTAAAACAAAATAATAATAGCTACATAATATATAGGTAAATAAATACAACGGATTTCCTAGATTAAATTGTACATATCAATATATTTTAGAAATGTAACGATTTTGTTGGTGTTGTCTTCAATTGGRCTGAGAGCAGAGCATAAATTAGTTCTGTWCTTAGAAATATAATGTCTAAGTAATACAAAATGTTCTAAAATATTCCTAAATAATTTGATTTTATGCGTTTCGTATTACCTCTTGGTCGAACTACGGTTCATAAAAAATAAAAACTGACATTTTTATATCTCAATATGTTTCAACGCCATCTTAAAACTAATTTGAATGTTGAATTCATTTAAACTAATGGTGTATACACTGTATATGCAATACACGCGTTTATCTTTTCAATGATTATCATTTATATTAAATGACAGCTATCCATGATGGTTGAGTACAAGAAAAATTTGGTATTATGTAGACATACATAGGTATAAGCATTGTAGGTACCTACCTACACCATTACGCTCGATCGTGCACGAACATAAATTACATGCAAAGATTTGAATAAATGAATAAACGTTTATAATATATTACATTATTATACAACAATACAGACCACCGCCGCTAAATGAAGATATAAACCTCACAGACGCCTTAATCTCCTTATACTCGTCATCTTCGAGATCCTATGTACTTACTGTTCGAAATAATTTTGCAAACGACAAGGAAATAGGTATATTTGGATATTATCAAGTATGCGTTTCGATTCAGTCTTTGTCTCCTTGAGTAATAATTWAAAGGGTGTAAGACGGACATGGCACCAATCTACTATCATTGCTTCGTTGTGCGATGTGTCATTGTTTTCAAATGGTATTTAACCTTGTATTTTTAATTTTTCGGATTCCGTAATTAAAAATGCTATGGACTGAATAAGACAGTTACAATTTAAAAAATAAAAGAATTTGAAATAGTTTTATAATTAAAAAATATAAATTCTATTATTAATATTGAATGATCAAAATATATTTTGTTGCAACTTTTTGCTGACTTTTCAATGTTTCTCAGCAATTTCCCAGTATTTTTCAAATTAGTTTAAATAACTATAAAGTTTCTGAAATTCTCATTTGKAAATAATCGTACTTTAACGATTTCCAACCTACAATAATGTAAGTAAGTAATAACAACCAATGTTGTTGTTCTGCGTTTATATTCGGAAAAACTCGCTATTTATTGTAAACCTTGTATTCTAATGCAATAGTATATTTTTTCTTTGAATTCAAAACAAATATTRTTACCAAAAAAAGAAAAACTTTTTGTATAATACTTTATAGGTATTATTATTCAATATTACAGTRTTAGTTAACASATGAAACTTTTAACATGATTTTGAAGATTTCTCTAACCAATAAATCACGCGTTAACGTAATATTTACAATATAAATCATTAAATGGATAGACTTTAACATTCACCTTATTCTCCTACGTTTTACATGAGACAGATGTTAATCGACAAATACTAAATCAAATACATTTTTTTTTTTAAGTTTTTTTCATGCCGTTATTAATATATTTTTCTAGAACTATATTTTAACTTTTCTACTGTCATTCCAATTTATAATATTATACTTGAGAATTCTTAGCGTTTAAAAAGAATATCACAGCCAATTCACAGGAACATATCATTAAAATGTCTACATCAATACATATTACATTTTCAAAACGATTAGCTACTTAATTACTTTAAGAAAAATGTCTACCTGTCACCACGAAACAAATGTTTGAATTATTTTAAAACCCTAGAGCATAGGTGCTATAAAATTTACTTGTATAGCAAATATATTTTATACAAAAATTTTAAATATATTTTCAATAAAAATAAGACCCCATCTGTTTAGACATTACACTCACCATAGACTAATTGTGTTACAGGCTCGTGGACTTATGCCACCACCTCCATCTATGACACCACAACAGCAAATCTATTCTTCGGACATTGTCGGTGGTTCTCCATCAGCCGGTGTAGTGTATCCAAATCTGATGTGCCCTACACCACCACCGCCACCGTCACAGCTGTTACTCCACCAACACTATCAGCAACAGCAACTACAACAACAGCAACCCACTGCTGCATTGMACCACCACCGGCACAACGGTGGTGGTCCTCAGCACGTGCAATACGTGCAGGTTGACCACCAAAACCAGTTCGCAAGCCACCCACACCAGCATCACCATTTACATCATCATCCCCTGCCGCCACCGCACTACCAGCCGGTCCCGCAGGCACGGACTATGACCCTTGGCCGATACCACAACAACCACAAACATGGTCACAATCAACCACAAGACCGCTCTGCTGAGATACCTCTGCTGTTGGCTGCCCAACCTGGGCTCCAACATCACCATCAGCTTCACCAACGCGAGAGCACGGTATAAATACACAATCGATGACATAGCTATACTCTCCCATTATCCCAAAACTGACCATTCTCTTTATTTATTTTTTACGATTATACCTAGATTATTATAATAATTATTAATTTTTGAGTTATTTTTYAATTTTGCATCGTGTTTTTTTCTAATCTACGTGACAAATCCTGGTTTGATAAAATTATTGTATTTAGTTTTTTATTATTATTATTATTTTATTCTTATAACCAGTTGTATTGAGACATATTAATTTAGTAAATAAATAATTAAAATAAAACTGGAACCATAAGTTAAAATTCAAGGTCAGGTTAGAATGCATGAAATTATTATATTGTCGTTAATGACGCCTGAGTTATACAACTCATCAGTTACCACAAGTGACATGCCCAGGAGTTTACATCAATGAGGGAGTTGTTATGAGTAATATTACATTTAAATTAATTATGGAGGCAGTACTAAAAACTTAAACGAAATGATCTACGGGTTAATGGGGGAGGGGATTACCCTTAAACTCCTAGGCACGCTAATAGTTACCACTCACTTCTACTGTGTTTTTTTTTTCTTATTCCAACCGTTTAACTCAATTAACTGGTAGTTATTCGGATATTACGTTGTACTTGAGTGGCTTATGATTATTTTGGTTTCCTCATATTAAACATCTTTCTAAAAATGGCATGAGACCGTTGCTTAAAAAATAATAATCACACCCTAAAAAATACTGACTGGTTTTAAAAATAAATGTGGATRTAAAAGCTCTTTTAACCTATTTAGCGTAAACCATTTAAATCTATACAATTCAATATTTTGAGCTAATATTATAATACAATAATTTCAGCTATAGTAACTATTATATAAGTCTGTGTTGTCATACAGACCACAATAACATATTTAACGAATTGTAAATTTTAACCATGTATTTAAAATATGAGACCCTAGTCTATAAATGTAATTATTATTATTTATTTATTATTATTATCATGACTATAATTTTGTTTACATTAAATTAATGACGCTTACTATATAACGTTTGTAGACCWTAGTGTTGTGCTGATAGCTTTTATATTTTATTTATTTGTTTTGTTTGTAAGCTGCATGCAAATATTTAATTTTTATTTTATCATTAACACTTCATACGAAATGGACGCTCCTAATAATTGTACTAATTTATAATATAGTATAGTTCCTATATTACGTTATAATAATATAATATGGGAAATACATTTTGAGTTTTAAATTTATTATATTATAGTATAGTAAAACCTCCTTATAACGGGCCTCTTATAAGAYGGAAATCTTATTACAAGGAAAATATAATTATTAATTTATAACCTATATCCCGCATGTTTTAATCTAACTACAACGAAAAAGTCAGTGGTACCCTTATAAAGAGGTTTTAGTGGTTTCAATGTACACAATATATTACCTATATTATAATAATGGAAAGACTGTAATGAAGTATTTTAATTGAACGCGCAAATCAAACAAAATTTTGGTTTTTTTTTATCATTATTATTTTATTTTTTTTGTATAATGAAATGATGTATGATTATATTTTAATGTTTGGAAATGAACTAATAAAGCGAACTTTTGACTAAATTTTATAAAATTATGATTTAGTTTATTCTTTATTTTTTTTCAGTTAACAAACTTTTGTGTTTAAATTATTGCACGTGTTCAAAATAGTTTTTCACACCGCATGAATTTTTTATCACTCTTGAGTTTTTACAGCCTGTAGAAATAAAATAGAGCATTAAGTTTTGTTTTGTGTAACTTTTAAAATGTTATATCCTCCTTACCCCCCCCCCACCGACCGCTTATTTTTGGACTCTGCTATAAACGATCGTTTAGGTATACTAGATGCCCAAAAAATAATTAATCATTCAATATATTTTATTGTGTTTAAAAATAACTGGTTTAAAAATAAATTAATGATTTTAAAATATAATATTTTATATAATATGTGTAATATCATACAGAATAAAATTAAGGGTTTTCTACGCGATTAAAAATATTACTATTACAACCACTCAGGTCTTGTAACTTGGTAGTAATTTTATTCTTTCACATATTATTATTGTAAATTGTAATACTGGATATATTTTAATACAATAACGCAATATTTCAAGCAATAAAATATAAACACAATTCGTGTGAAAACATAATATATGAAAAAAAGTTCAGTTGAATATTCACATACATTATAGAATAAACCCTATATAATCCCAAGAGTATATAAACTCTTTCAGCTTTAAATCAACATTATTTTGGCCCATTTCATTATTTGTCAAAACACATTTAATAAAATTTGTCGTTTGCTTAAAGTGTTACTTTTTTTTTCTTTCAAAATAATAAATATGTTTTTACCGTAGGTTTATGCAAATTTTCAATTTTCAATCTCGAATAATAAAAAATACGTATTAAGTATACTTATAAAATGTTATTACCTACTTACTAATAGTTTGTATAGTATGTGATTAATTTATATTGCTTTATAAAATTATAAAATAATATTCAAATAATACATTTCCAACAAATTCAGAAATTATATATTTATGTTTCAAGAAACTAATAATTGCATTCCCATCAGAATTTCTCCCTAACTGAACAGTAATGATGGACAAACAGTTCAATCGAATTCCAAACAAATAATATATTCATTATCTAAATTCCTAGATATTATATAATTTACTAATAACAAAAAAATGAATTATGTAATTTATTCATCGTATATTATGTGGATTCCTATTAGGAACACTTTAGGTACTATGTAGTAGCAATACGTTTATATAAAATCAATAGGTCAATACAGATAATTTACCAGTAATGGCCAAAAAATATGATGAAATAATACGTATTTTTAATCAAGAATCGTGGAATACCTAGTTATCATAGTACATTTAACTACTAATCCAAAAATTATAAATGCCATCAGCATGAAAATAAATAAAAAACATTTTTTTAACTATCTGTAAAAAAAATAATTTAATTAATAT